TTTGAGAATCACTAATTAATTTAAAATAGAGTTTAAAACCATATATATATATATATATATATATAATCTTTCTCGTATTTTAACTTATGTTTTTCAACTTATGTTTTTCAGAGCTTTCGTTCTTTTAGAATTATAATCATATCAAAAACTAAACCTCTATGACATTATAGAATTTATTTTTAAATATTTAATTAAAATTTAATTATTCTTCAAAATTTTAACATGTTCATTAATTAATAAAATAAACACTGTAGGTATGTTTTCTTATCTTGTATAATTAATTTTAAAATATATAATAAATAACTGGCTCTTATCAAAAAACATTAATAATTCGGAATGAATTATTAATGACGTTGGATATATTTTGAACGTAGTTTCAAATATAAAAGGTAAATTTAAATGCTATTGGTGATATTAACTTCTATTTATTGAAGATAGATGTGTGCTACATAACAACGATACCATCATTACATGTACTCAATTAATGATAGTCTTAATTTTATTTTTATGTGTATTTATTCTTAGTTAATGCTTGTAATATAAATATATTAAAGTTACTGAAATACACTCACACACTGACACACACACACACACACACATATATATATATATATATATATATATATATATAAATAATAAGACATAAAAATTAAGACATATCAATTAACATCTTAATATGAGTTGAATTACAAAGCATATTGCTTTAAACATAGAAGAAATAATTGCTGAGTATCAAGATTTACAAGGCTATGTTAGTAGTAAACAAACAAATTAACTAATATAATCTTAATAAGCTATGAAATCTAGAAGGTTCTAACTTTCACAAATACGCCATTAAGTCCGAATATAGAATACATTTAGAGTAAATCTAATTTTGCTTCTGTTGTTTTGGAATTATCACAAAATGTCGAAGAATTGTGAGCTGACTCTCAGATCACAGGTTCGATCTGGGGTTCGAATCCGGCTGGTCGCAACGACAGCATTCTCCTCGCTGTGTATTTCATTGGGCAGAGTCATGACAGTAGAATGTTGGCCTTTTCTATCATCGGAGGAAGTTACTCGTTCGTAGATTGTTGGAATTCTAGATAGATGCTCAATCTCTCCCGCTCTGTGTGCCCTTGGCCATTGAGCCAGAAACCCTAACAAAACCCAATTGGGAAGCGCCGTTCATATAGCAAAATGAAGCTAATTTGACTCTACTGACGTTTTTTTCGGGGCGAATTGGTGTGAACGCTCTTTCTAATTACGCACAAATAACTTAAGGAACAAAATATCTCTTTTCCCCTTCCTTCTCGGAACCTCCTTTAATTCGAAAAGTTCAAAAGAAGCCCAAATGTTAAGCGCCCACAAAAAGGTATGGATTAGCTCGAGCTGCCACAGAAACCTAATCCGTTGGAGGAGTGAAAGAGAATGTGCTTTGGGTTGCTTGGGGAAAAGTAGCTACCGAGTGAAAGGGTCAGGATCCTGAGCGCCCATGCCACCTCGGAAAGGTCCAAACATTGCACCAACAGCAGTATGTGAGGGGCATGGTATCGTCGGCATTCGCTTGCACAAGCTGCATCCTTTAATTCCAACTGCGTTGAGTCAGAAATACTTCTCGAGTACCGTATTTTTGTACTAAATTAGCTCTTCTATGTATCCGATCATTTCCCAACGACCAATACAAGCAAGGTTATAGGTCAAAACTGGAAATCACTGGATACCCATCTCTGAGCTTGCAGGTTTGGGCTTTCTTCTTGAATCAACGTCACACCACGATAGCAAATTTCGTAACCGGCCACCCAACACCGCCATCCACGTCATCGGCACTTCACAAATCGGGAAAGTGTCTCTGGGGTTAATAAGGGCATTCATTCAAGCGTTGCAACGGAGCTGGATCAGATTCTATGCAGGTTTTATGCGTTGGGCCTGAACAGCGTCCTTTGCGGAGCCCCCGCCTCCAAATGGAGAGAACGAAGCGGGAAGGGTTTCAAGCTAGGTGACTGCCAAAAAGGGAAGGGATAGCAAAGGAGCGGAAAGAGGCTTGAGGCCTATTTGCATGGAGCCTTTTAGGGCAACAATGCAGGCTTCTCCCTAATTGGGTCCCAAAGTAGAGGCACTAAATAGCCTCGATTTCACTAATCTTTTTGCAGCGAAAGTGCATAACCCAATTAATCGGAAGCCAAAAGGAAGCGTCAAACTTGAAGGAAGAGACAATGCCCAAGGCTGCCTACTTCATAACTTCTCATAAATGCGGTGCTCGGAGACAAAGCTTCGTTGCGAACCCCATTTGGCACGTGACGCCATGTGGTTTCGCCTGCTAGTTCCCAACAAAGAGAACGCTTACGGATGAATGCTTCGATTCATCCATCTTGTCCGATGCTTCTATAGATAAGTGCAGGGCTCCTGAACGAACATCAGGCATGTACCCATCTGTATTATTTTCTTCTGTCCTACGTGGCATTTTCCCCTACTTGTGGGTTAGACTAAGAACTTCGTGTGCTCTCATTTCCTTGTTCTATTCTAAATTCGTATTGTTAGCCTGACTTTTAGCTGGTGGTCTTGTGTAAAAGATTTCTGTAGAGTGATTTAACAATATATATATATATATATATATATATATTTATCAATACCAGTAATTTATTTCATGTTTGGTAATTTGACTAATAGGACAATAGTACAGAAATATAGAGGGTTTTGTTAGTGCCACTGCAATTTTTTGATACTATCATTGGTTGTATGACACTAGCAATATCCTGTATAGACACTATAAAAAAATTGCATTACACAACACTTTCAAACATCTTTAAATATTGTTGTTTCAACTTTCTTGGTTTCTTTTTATAATTTTCATATCTAAAATATTTTAAACAATATATATATATATATATATATATATATATATATATTCATGACCACAATTTGAATTGCGTCTGAAAATTGAAATTGGATAGAATAAAATAGAATAATTAAAAATATGACCATGTTTTATTTTCACTTCTTCAAAATATACTTGACTTTAATTGTTGTATAGTATTTTCTAATGAAATAAAATAAAATAAAATAAAATAATTAATTGAATTATTTTAAAATATATCAAAATTAAATATAAAACATGTTATTATGTAAAATTAAAAAAGCTCCTTTTATGGTTGTTTAAAAAAATACACAATGTTCAAATAAATTTTAATGTATAAATATTAATTAATTTAAATATATACATATGTGTATTTTTAATAAAGAAATGACTGAAAAATACAATAAAACAAACAAAGAACTTTGTTACTTTTTTATGCAATACTATATTTTTTGTTGTGTATGTTTATAATGAAAAAATTCAATAAATAAAATTTTATTATATATTTGTATATATTTGTATATTATCAATTATATTCTAAAATTTTAATTGCTATTACACTCAACTACTATGCATTTTCTACAAATCCTATTTCCAAGCATATGTTTTAAAATTTATATATAATTATGTAGATATTATTAGTTATTTGGTTAATTATTATTATTATTATTGTAACTATTTTTAACTCAATATAAAATCAATACAAAAAATAAATTTTAATTATTAAAATTTTAAAAATAATTCTAATATAGATAAAAATAAAGACATTGATTGTCTAGCTTATAATTACTAAAGATTTGTCATATCTTTTGTATTTACCATCTTTGTTTCACACAGAATATTATCAATAATATTAACATGAAACGACAAAAACTTAATAATAAATCCACAAATCATAAAATATACTAGAAATCTACTTTTGACAATATAATCTTCATTAATTTATCATAGGCATGATTTAATCATATATATATATATATGTATATTTAAAAATCATTTCATTTATTTTAAATAAAAAAAAGACCAGGGTGATGGGCAAGTGATAATCCTCCAATTGTATATGCACAGCTTAATTTCTTCCAGTTCACACTAACGTAGTGCTCTCAAATTATCTAAATTCACCAAGCATAATTAAGTCACTCAACTTTGCCCATTAAGATTTCTTTACGACTCCATGGCTACCAACTAATATAGAACGCATCCTCACATGCATCTCCAATTTAAGGGTTTTAAGCATGTAAGGGCATGTAACATCTGTCATTACTTATACTCATTTATTAAGAACAAACACTCAAAGACCTAATCCTAAATTGAGGAGACATGGGAAGAGGGGCAAAGACATGGGAAGCGCATTGAATGGGGGATGGCGAAGGAAAAAGGGGAAGCTTGCTTTGCTTTGCTTGCTTGTGCTGAATCACGCACACATGGGCGACCCAGGCTGCGCGGAGCTGCGGCGCTTCAGCAGCAACATTCAAGGCCCATGAGGAGAAGGAGAAGAAGTAGGATGAGGAGCAATCAAGCCATTCCATTCAATTCAATGCTGCTACAATCCCACCACCGCCGCTGCTGCTGCAACGCCACGCCTCGCCACGCATTGCAACTCTACCGCGAACGCATCGCATCGCGTCGCCGCGGATCATACAGCCCACCGCATGCACGTGCCGGCGTTAGTGAAGTGCTGGTGGAACATCACCCCGTTTCCCCCCTTCTGGAGAATGTGAGCATGCCAGCCCAGTGATGGCAGCACGGTGGCCTCCCACACACTAGCAGGGCTAAGAAGGAAACTTCGATGCGTCCGGAGAGGGGCGAAAGAGCACGTAGAATCCGATCCAGGTGCCAGTTGAAGAGAGAGATGGAAGCAGAAGAGCGCATTGAGATGGGGATGAATAATCAGAGTATTATAGGGGGTGCCAGAATCAGCTCTGGACCAGCTTAGGAGTGGGGCTGTATGGGGCCCAGCTGCAAAATCCTAGCCAACGCGGCAGCGTTCTCGGGATCTTAGCTAACGCCGCGCCCAGTTGCCTCTCCCCTTCCAGTCGATTCTTACGAAGTATACAAAATAACTGGCCCGCTCATCCTCTTTTGAGTTCAACCATTACACCTCATCGTGATCAGGCTTGAACCAGCTCCATCCCCATCCAGGCTGTGTCTGTTACATATATTAGCCCTCACCGTTGTCAAGTCCTCCTTCTCCCCCACATTCTCGTAGTGCTTGTGACCGTCTTAGAGAGCTCGGATCTGGTTCAAGCGGCCTGCGGCTCGCTGAGATTGCGGCTGCTCGAACGACCCGACGGTGTGAGTGGTAGGTCATTGGTGGCCGCCGAGATTCGGCTGGGGAGAAAGTGGATAGTTCCGAGTAAGGTGAATCCAGAACTGTGCTGGAGAGTTTTGTCGAACGCGGTAGCTAATTGATTGAACGTGGGACTGATTGCTCAACTCCGGACTGGAAGAATGTTGCTCAGTGATGGAATGGCCTCCAGCACTGGTAAGCCTTGGAGTTGTATGTCGTTTATGTCGTGTGCGCGCAACGCAGCAGCAGTGAGATTCTGCGTTCTGTGAATCCTCAGATGTCTTCTGGTCCTACACTTTAATAGTCTGGCAGTTGCCCCTAATGCTGGGTGCGAAAGTGTGCGACGCTCTCACCAGGATTCGAATTTTGATGCGTGACGAGAAGATTCACTCGTCCCTTGCAATTAAGATTCCGTGATGCCTTGTAGTAATCCCCCATTTGAGCGTGACCACTGTAGTGAGCTAGTTCTGTGAAAAGTAAGTCAGGGTGTTACAGTTACGGAGTTGGCCAATCCTTGTTAGTCAGCGAAATTAACCCTATTATCTTACAAGTCTTCGTGTGATTTCGATGAGAAGACCCTGTTGCATCCTCTTAGCTCAAGGATTGATCACATATTCCTTCCAGATTGGTGAGGTCTTTTACTCGGTAGACACTCGTACATCCCTAATATGCGTTTGTTTTGTGGATTCAGGGCTCCAAGCACGAAAGCCCGAGTTTCTGTTGCACGATTCTAGACGGTAACTCGAGAGCGGTTTTGTTCGGGTTTTAGCGAACCATCTCGGTGGTTAGAACTACTCTTGACTGTGAGCAGATTAGTTTGTCAAAATGCCGCCCTACTTCGCACCGGGAATGGAATGCCTCGGCAAGGCAGGAAACGAATCCTTCATGACACGAGAACCCTTCCCTACATTTGTTGAGGGTGCCATTATCGTGGGGGGTGGACCTTCAGGCTTGGCAGCCGCCGCATGCCTCAAGATGAAGGGGGTGCCTTCCCTGATCATTGAAAAATCAGACGGCATTGGCTCGCTCTGGAAATACAAGGCTTACGACCGCTTGCATCTTCACATCCCGAAGCAATTTTGTGAGTTGCCGTATTATGCCTTCCCGGAGGATTACCCTTTGTATCCAGACAGGAAGCAATTCGTTGACTACTTGGAGAACTACTTTCAGCATTTCGACATGTGGGCCAAGTTCAACACCAAGGTGTCCACCGCATCGTATGATCCATACTCATCATGTTGGAAGGTTAAAACGCAACCTTCAGAGGCAGATTCCGAGGGTGAGAGGAGGGAGTACCGGGCGAAGTGGTTGGTGGTTGCATCTGGGGAGAATGCGGAGCCTTACACCCCGGAAGTGGAAGGGCTGAAGGATTTCAGAGGCTCCGTTGTTCACTCCAGCAACTACAAGACAGGAGCTGGCTATGCGAGGCAAAGAGTGCTCGTTGTAGGGTGTGGAAACTCGGGGATGGAGATTGCCTTGGACCTGTCGAATTTCAATGCCGAGCCGTCTCTCGTCGTCCGAAGCCCTGTGCACATCCTGCCGAGAGAGATCTTCGGCACGTCCACGTTTGCCGTGGCAATGAGGATGATGAAGAGTTTTCCCCTCTGGTTCACGGACGCATGCCTCGTATGGTACACCTGGGCCATGTTGGGCGACACGACAAGATATGGCTTCAAGCGCCCCTCGGACGGTCCGATGACGATAAAGTGCAAGCAGGGGAAAACGCCGATTTTGGATGTGGGGACCTTTGCGAAGATCAAGAGCGGCGCCATTAAGGTGTGTCCCGGGTTGAAGTATGTCACCCCCGACGGGGCCTTATTCGAAAATGATCAATTTGTAAAGTTCGATGCCATTGTACTGGCCACTGGTTACCGGAGCAATGTTCCTCAATGGCTGAAGGATGACAGCGGTTTCTTCACAGCAGAAGGACTTCCGAAGAATCATTCCAAGGGAACTTGGAAAGCGGAGCGGGGTCTCTACATCGCCGGGTTGGGGAGGAAAGGGATATTGGGAGCGACCTTCGATGCCAAATATATTGCTGAGGACCTCAGCAGAGCTTACGCCTCCGAGTCTCACAAGAGACTCATCTGCCCTCTGCAATCCCGATAGCCGCCCTCTGTGCAGCACCATTCCGGATCTCCTACCAATTTTGACAGCCTCGACGCTACCTGTCCCCCCAACAGCCCTTTCTTTTTTGTCTCTTTTCCAAGGAGATTTTGAAACCCTCTGAGAATACTCGCTCATTTACCTGGGAAATCGGGACACGATGGATTTCAATTCTATTTTTTTCATTTTTGTCCTCTCCCCACACTACTGCGGTGTTCTCGAGTTCGGGTGTTTTGCGGGAGGAGAATGAGGTTTTGATGTCGATGACATATATTGCGCTTGTAGAGCTTCTCATAGCGTTGTTGAAGATGAATGCGAAGCTGTAGAGCGTAGTCCACCTCGAATGTTTTTCAAGACGACGTTGGAAAGCGCGCGCAAGAAACGGAGAGAGCAAGAGAGAGAGAGAGATAAAGAGTGAGAGGGAGTGAGAGGGCAGAACTTACACGCAGTGGATAGTTGGGGATCAAAAACATGTGTACCCCTCACGGCCTACTTGTACCATACATTTTTTGCACAAAATCTACACAGATAGCCAAGTAATAGCATAGACCTAAGGTTTTATTCGACACGCATTGTCCGTCTCACACATTTTGTTTTAAAAATCTCCAAAAGCTGGAAAACATTTTCACGAATTCTCAGTGATGGGCTATGCACGACGCATCCTTCTGTACGAACAGCGTTTCCTGCACGCAATCCGTTCAAAGAGAGAACCATTTCTCGCCCGGCATTCTGATCTGCGTCATCATCTCACGGAAGCACGTGAGTTCGTAGAAGGAGAATTTGGAACAATCCTTGACCTTTTGAAACCATCGTGTGCATTGGGAAAACTGGGTGTGGACACTTGGATCGCTTGATAACTCCTGATAAAAATGGATCATTGAACGAGTATTGGGTTGACTAGTACAGAGCCACTGTGTGCACAGTAGCAGTCCCTCATGATCACCTCATCGTAACTCAGTCTTGGTACACAGCGATGGCTCGATGCAGCAGCAGCAGCAGCAGTCTTCGCGAGAGCCACAGATTCAGAATGTGACGACCATGTGGGGAAACTCCACCGGCCAGAGTACGAAGCCTGGCGCATCTTCCCCCACCTTGTGGCACCTCCCTCCTGCGCCTTGGACTTGCTCAAACATGCCTCCCCCCCCTCAGACTGCTTTCACAGCCCACATTCTGTAAAAGCGTTGCAATCAAACCATCCAGCGTTGATTCCTTCTCTGCCGCGCCGGCCCTTCTTCCTGTGGGACCAGCCAATTTGTCGATCAGTCGGTGTTTCGCTGGTTCGGAGTCTTTGTGGGTGCGGCGTTTTTTTCTTTCTCTTTGCTTGCATGCTTTCTTGCAAGCTTTGTGGAATGTGGAGCCTCACTGAAGAGGGGCCAGTCTAGATGATAAGCTTGCGAGGTGTGCGACAGATTGGACTTCATAGATGCGCCTGTGCTTTTTGTATATAACAAACCCTTTGTTGAGCTTCTTCTTCTTCTTCTTCTTCCTCAATTGAATTGCGCTAATGCATGTAGCTTTTATGATGTGTTTCGTGACTTGTCTGAATCAATTGTTTGATTAGCTGTGGAAATTTGCACTAATGTTTTTATTAAATTTTTCAAATTTGTTTTTTTTTATTATTATTCTCAAAAATATAATAAAATACAGTACCTGATACATTTAGAAAGTGTTAGATCCACATATGGTTCTAATTTATTTATTTTTAAATAGATGGATTAGTTCAACATACTTATAAATGGTTGATAGTGTATTAGTTCAACATACCTTTTTTTTTTTTTTTTTTTTTTTTTTTTTTCTTTTTTTTCCCCTTTGAATATGAATGCAAAACCCTGTGTAAAAGATTATATTTTTTAAGGAGATTATATATAGTTATAATTAACTTCTTTTCAGTAAAGCTTTATTTCTTAACAAATCTAATAGCACATGTAAACTCTATTTTGTTTTACTCATAATTCATATCATTATTCGTGTGTTACTCATAACACAACACCTACTTTTAAAATTATTAATAAAAAATGCAGTATCCAATCTTTTTCTCATTCATTAAAAACAATCATCTAATAAATACTTGAAAAAAAATAAAAATACTTTGAATGTTTACAACGAGTATAATTTGGTGAAACAGAAGACTCAAAAAATTCAGATAATGTAAAGCACTTCCTCAAAAACATCAAGTGGGGAAGAATATTATAACAGAACTAAAAAATGAAACAATCAATCCCAACACCTCATGCAAGTGCTGGTTTTATGGGAGAGCATGGAAGAATTGTGAGAGGGATTGCAGCTCCACCTCAATCCCATACTCCTCGACGCACAGCATCAAAAATCGACAGGGAGAGAGGATCGCTGCTGATCAAACCACAAGTCCAATACAGCTTGGTGGAAGTGTGAGTGTGATCTTCAACAGCAATTCAGCTCTAACACCCATCCAGCATCTGTGGTTAAGCCCAACCAAGCACCGAAACACTGCCTTGGAACTCATGGCGATCGAGCCTGGTCCCGTTCAGAGTACTCCCGTTCGGAGGTCCTTTCGGTGCTGCAATTCCAACAGCTTGTCCACAAGACAGACCGTCGTCGATGAAATCCTTCATGTTGGGGTCCTGCAGCTCATTCCTTCGCTCAGGCAGACAAACACTCAAGCCCTCCATTGGGGACTCACACCCTTGGCGTCTCGCGAGAGGAAAGGCGGCATCACGGCAAGCGTCTCGGTTCGGCTGACGAGGTGTCTCGTTTTCTGCATCCCACGGTGCGGTGGAGAGGGTCGGATCAAAAGCCTACTCCCGGGTGGAGGGCCCAGATCGTGTGGATGAAGAAGCTTCCATGCGAGCAGAGCACGGCGAAGATATGAAAGGCTTACGATTCCGATGGTGCGAAGTGCTCACCCCCTGCAAGTGGGTTGGGAGGGTGCAGATGCTGCAGCATCTTGCCTGTTGGAATCCCGCAGAGGCTGGCTCATCATAACAACGAGGAGGAGGAGGAGGGATCATCCGCTCTGTCGGTGTGTGTATGTGTGTGTGCACTCGCCGCAGCATCCTTTGGCTACTCGCAAGAGATCTCTCAACCAAATCCTTCTAGAATCTCGTAAAAGGACTATTAAAAACTCCGAATTGTTCCATCCTTCGGGCGGACCGTCAAGCTTCCATGCAGATTCTCGGCGCCTTGGGACTGTTCAGTCGCCGTGAATCTACACATCAGATGCCGTGAAGTAACGCGACGTAGTTGTTTCCATCTGTAACGGACATGGCTGCATGCAGGGCTTGAGAATGTGAGCATTTCGGCGTCGTTTTGTGCATCGTTAGTTTTGTGTGCATTGTTGCAGAATGCTTCGCACACTTGAGAAGCGTTGCTTGGATTTGGCAACAAGGGTCCAGACAATTTTCTAGACACAATTGCAATTGTTTGGATGGTTATGCTTCAAGACATTTGAAGAGAGTGTGTCACGCACTACAATTGGGTAATTCCATGTTTGGATTATGCCGTCTGCTTGATTTGATTAATCACATTACCAGTTATTAAAAAATAAAATAGTTTTTTTTAAGTGTTGATTAATTTATTTTGATATAAATATAAATAAATAAATAAATTGATATGTTTAACTGACCAAATCAAAAATCATTGTGTTGGGGACGCTAATAATAGATTATTTAAAATAAAACAAAACACTGTAGTTTTCCAGAATAAAAAATAAAACTAAAAAATCTATATAAAACATATTTTTCTATGCATTAATAACTAATTTTTTCACTAAATTTTTTAATTTGATTCTATATTTATATTAAAATATAGTTAATAAGCTTTTATTGCAAAAATAAATAAGCAACTCTAATATTTATAGAATTCAAACTTATGGATCATGGTGTGTGAAAAGACACATTACATTAAATTGTGTCAACATTTTTAGTCAATAAAAGCCAAATTATAACATACTGATGTGATTTTTCAATTGCGTATTATATTTTTATACAATCTTCAATATCAACTTGATAGGTTAATTTTATTAACATTTCAAAGTAGGTTTTAAATTAAAAATAGATAATAACTGTATATTTTGGTTAATAATAAATAATAAATTTACTGGAAAAAAACTTGAATATAAAAAATATTTATAAAAAAATACCTATCTTCAAATTAAACTATAGTTAAAAGATGAATAAAATCTCTGTTATATTTTTTTTCATATAGTTCAGTTTAACAAAGATATTTATGATGTAAGAATTGATGAAAATAATAGAAAATATTCATTACTTAAAAAAACACTAAAATACTAAAAATAGAATTATTTAAAAAATAAAAGAATAAAATTAATTTTATAAACATATAAATGAAGGTAATCAAAAATAATTTTAAAGTTATAGATTTTACAATTTACAATTTATTTAAAGATTTACATGTATATTATATTAGTATTATAAAGATAGTAAATGTTGAAATTTTATTGGTAGAAATTAAGTTATTATATATATATATATATATATATATATATAAAGAAAATAAAGTAATTATCTTATTCTTTTTTATCTTTAATAAAAATATAATTAGTGTAACTTCTAGAATTTATTTTAAAAATTTATATTTTTTTATCACATGCAATCTTTTACCACTTTATCATAACCTCTTATTTAAAAAAAAAAAAAAAAAAAAAAAAACTGTGCATATAAATAGATTGGCTACTTCAAAGTTAATAACAAATACTTGTTGCATGCTTGGATGGTGATTGCCTTAAATTATTAAATACTTTATCAATAAGACTTTAAATTTTATAAATTATTTTATGAAGAGAACACTATCATATAGAAAGTAATATAGAACAAAAATTTCTTCAAAGTATAGTTTTGGATTTTGTAGACTTCTAATTTTATAGAAATTCTTAATCAAACTTTAAAAATTTCAATGGCTTGCACATAATTTTGTTGTTAATTTTAATTACTTAAGTACAACAAGATAAACTTTTAGATTATTGAATTTTACTGTAGACCAAAGTTTTATTAGATGTTAAAATATTACTTATTTTTTATTACTAATTTTTAAAAATTAACTTATATAAAAAGTAAAGATCTAATAGATTTATTCTACCTTCAAATAAAATCAAGTTTTAACAAATAAATTGTAATTTATTGTTGAATAAGTTTGAAAAATTAATTAGCAAATGATAAATTTTAATGCATATATTAAAATTTATTGTGTCTATATTTGTTTCTTTCTTACAAATTGTTGTGTTGTTTAGAATACACGATTTTTTTTGTGAATAAAGTGTTAGCTATAATAATAAATGTTAGTATTATATATTTAGATAATAATAATGCTTAAACTTTTTATATATATAGTAGTTTAACTACATTTAATGTGAGCTTAAAATCAAGACATATGTTTAATAAAAATAAAAGACTTTGTAATTTGATTGGATCTTTGTTTTTATACTTCTCTTATCATTGATAGTAAGTAAAGTTTTGTTGATTAAAATCTTAATATACATATACATGTAAATAAAATCTATTAAACCATTTATTAAAATGATTTAAAATTATTATTTTTATCTTATTGTTAAAAATGATTTGTGTACATTTGTATTTTTAATTTTTTTATCTGTCTTTTGTATTAAATTAAAATTATAAAATAAAAGAATAATAAATTTAAAAATTAATAAAAGATTAAATGATATTTTAGAGTAATTTTTTTTAATATTTAAAGGTACAAGCATTAAGTATATAAATAAATATATAGTAATCATATTATGATTATTATGTTTTTTTACAATACATAACTTTATACTATCAATCAACATATTAAAATAAAAAATAAAAATAGCATATATATATTTCTCAAATATGTTGAAATATAAAGAATATCCCTATATTCTTGATAATAGCAAATATATCCTTCAAATTTGTGATAATAGCAAATTCACCCTCTCTAGTAATAAGTTATCAAGATTAATTGATAAAATTCAATTTAAGAGAAAATAGGGTGTATTGCTACCAATTCTCTGCAAAGCATTTTAAAGATAATATAGAGTGCCAAGATCGAAGTGATATTTTAGAATGAAAACTTGAAGATCTATGAACACTCACTACAAGGATCAAGCACCTATTTGACATTCTTGGTCAAAGTTTATTGAAGCATCATGACTTACAAACAAAAGCAATGCAATTTCTTTTCAAAAAGAAATGAGTTCCTGATTTTAAACCAACTCCTCCCAAAAGCCATGCTATTCCTTACGTCAAGTGTAACCGCAAATGGCTTCTTTGCTAAGACTAATAAGCAATTACTATCATTGTTGTGGGGAGTTGTAAATGATACTGAGGATCTAAGTACTAGGCTCTCAATAATGGCTGCCCCTCAGCCATTGCAAATACACCTTGCATCTTTGCATCCAAAAATTCCTCTAATTAAGCCATTGCAGCTATTGCAAACCCATTTTCTAACCAATTACATATATTGCAACCTAAATTGTTATTGAACCACCTTGTATACATGTATGGCACTTTGCAAGATCTGTTACATGTTAGAGACTACCTTCTATTCATTATTGTTTTTTTCTCTTCAACTTCTAAGATGGGCTTCATTAGCCACATGTTGGCAATAAACAAAGCGCCTTGCACCACTTGGACTATTACTTCTAGACACATCTTGCTACATGTGATGCCAATCAAAAATTCAAAACAAAAATTGGTCCCCTTACAAAAATTCTAAACAAGGAATATTGGTGATAATTTATCACAAATGAAGATATATTTGCTATTATCACAAATCTAGAGGTATATTTGCTATTATAAAAAATATAAGGGTATTCTTGATATTTCAACATATTTGTGAGGTATATATGACATTTTTCTAGTAAAAAAATATTTTTATGTTCAAAAGATTTTTAAAATAATTAAAATTAACTATGATAAAATTAAAAATAATTATTGGAATACTTAAAAAATAGTATAACTATGAAATATATACAAAGGAAATAATTATTTTTATATGTATATGTATGTATGTACACACACACACACACACACACATATATATATATATATATATATATATATATAATTTTTTTAATACTATTAATTTATTATTTATTATAATGGTTAAATATGTTTGATAAAATAAATATTCGAAAAATTTATTGAAAAATTAAACACATTTTTCATATTAAGAAACATAGTATAAAGAAATATTAAAGTTACAAAGTTTTATTTTCTACAAAAGTTTTATTGTGATTTTAGAGTTACATGTTTATTTTTTATTTTTTTATTTTTACAATTTAATTTTTTTATATTTTTATTAGTTATATTTTTGTCTTCATGTGTACGTGTTCTATTTTTATTTTTTTAATTATTATTTGTATAGCACTAACATATCTTATTTGTACAAGTTTTAGTTACTTCATATGTATTATAATTTTTATTGTATTACGTATTATTATACATCAACAGCTATTTTCAATATAATATTTTCAGAACAAAAGCCCCAATATCAACATATATAATTGCTAAATACTTTTTTCAATTGTCTTTTCACAATTATATATTGAAGTGAACTTATGAAGAAGTATTTCTCTTTATGTATAAATTATGTCATTAAATATGGCATTTCATTTCTTTTCCTAAATGAATACTTAAAAAATCATATCGTAGTGTAGTTAATGCATAAAAAAATTAAAAACATACCTTTTTAACTTACTCTAAATAAATATTACATAGCATTATTAAATAACAACAATTGTTTTTAGTGATGATACAATCTTTTTTAGATTATTAGTTTATGACGAGGATTTTAATAATTTGTATAAAAGCTAAAAAAATTAAAATATATGTATGTATGAAAATTTTAAAATATATATTTCATGTAACAACTAACTCTGTAAAACAATGGACTTGCCATAATTTTGTTGATCTTTAGTTGTTGTTAAATTTTGATTTATTATTTTTTTGTATAAATTTTTTTATATATATAGTTACTTACTATTTATATTGTGTTTTGTTTTTTATTCCTTTCTTTTAAATATGTAAATTTATTTAGAAGTGAATACATCCACCAAGCACAAATCACTTAGAATTTGTTTGCTGTTGAACATTTATGATTATAAGTTACTACACTTGTATATGTATTATTCTAATTCAATAGAATAAGATCATACTAGTTTTCTTTTCATTTATTTTATCAAGAGATGCTTTAATGCTTAAATGAATGATGAATCTCAGAAATTAATAATTTCCAAAACTAAAAACTAAAAACTAAAATCAAATGTCAAGATTTGTTAACAACAGAAAATAAACGGGTACTTCCAATCTTATGCAAAACATTTTTTCAACAAGATATTCCAGATGCAATCAAATATTAAGAGTGGAATTGGGTCCACACTTCTAAAAATTATTTCAAAGAGGAGGATATTATAAGATATTATTTTAAACTTTTTTCTTTTCTAGACAAGTTCTTAAAAAACTAAGAGTCACTGTTGTGTACAACTTCTAAGAAAGGTGAATAAAACGAAATAAATAAACAAATTTCCCATACAAAACAACCATCAAAAGGCATATATCCAAGTCCATTGAAGTCCCTAGCGGTAGTGTCGGCACCGACACCCAAGTCCGGGTTCACTTGCAAAGAACCTTCGCCGTTGACATCGCCACCGACTCATCCACGCGTGTCGGCCGACAGAACACGAAGGGCGGCGAGAGTCGCCCTGACGCTCCAATCGGTCCATTGCCAGGCATCCTCTCCTTGGGGATCCGGCCACGAACAGACCCGCATCGGGAGCGTCGCAACGGTTAGCGCGTCGCATCATCCATGCCTGACGCCCTGATCTTCGTTGCAGAACCTTCATCGCGGGGCTTTGCATCGCTCCGCATCGCTCTCGCTGGCTTCATCGTTGAAGCAGCAGCGATTCCTTGTCCTTGAACAGTCTTTTTTGATCCAGTTCCACTCTCTAACCGATGCCGCACGGGGGTGTGTTGGTACACCAGGTCTCGATGACTGCCGCGAATCCTTTGCTTGAGAAGGTCTGATGTGGGATAGGCGTTGCTCGCTGCAATCGCGTGTCGGAGATTTCGATGCGTTGCCGCGATGGGATGAGTAGGATCCCTCCGTGTAGTCACGGCTAACTGATGGCTAAGCTTTGTGAGCGGTGCAAGACGAACGGCATCGCGCCGGTGTTGTCTGATGGGAGCCCCGGGGGGAGTTCTAGATGCATCCCTCGATTGAAGCCCAAGAGCGCCCTCAGGCCCGTGTATCTTTGGACGGATCCCGCAGAGAAGAATCGTATTGTGGTGGGTGGCGTTGGGGGCAAGAACGGTGTGCCGATATCACTCCAGCTCCCGAATTCACAGAATAACAACACACTGAGTCTGAATTGCGGTGGTGGGTCGGCGGGGAAATCGGGATGCATTAAGATCATGAGCAACAGCATTATTAGGGCGAGCAATGGAGGTATCCAGATCTTGCCAGGGAAGGGTAAGAATGGGGGGTTGCAGATCTGCATGGCAAATGGAAGACCCAAGTGGCAATTGGGGGTGTCCAGCGATGGTCGCTATTGTAGCAACAGGTGCAGCCACCACGCCTTTCTTTTTACATAACGAGTTTGCCAGTAACAACGGGACTGGAACGATACTCGTAACATCTTCATGATGATATTTGAATTGCATGATATGTTTCATGATGCTCGCTGTTTGAGATATTCTTGCAGAAGCTCTCGGATAGCTTCACAATAAACTGCAGTCAATATGTCAATTGATTCATGTCCAAGCAAACCCGCTCTGTAATCTTTTGTTCGACTTGCACAGCTTGACTTCAAAACCTGATGTGGTTTGTTTTACTGATTTTTTTTCTTGTGATTGTGAATCAGAGGCGGAGAAGCGATCATCTCAAGCGATGATGGTGGAGATGAAATCCAGGTAACATTAATATCACTGTGCTGTCTTTAACTTCTTGTAGTCGTGATTATATGAAAAGTGTTTTTGGTGTTAATAACTAATTACATCTGTACATCGCATATTTTTACTTGTCCACAAGGGTTTTGCTTTAAAGAGCATCTACATTTGCAATGCACAAATACCTACATATTTATTTTTGGAACATGATTTGCGGTGATGGGCTGATTTTGGCTCATTCGATCCAAATCGTAGAATGAGAAACAGTCCCTATTCTTTCTACATTTCACATGAAGAATATCGTTTTGTTTTTATATGACTTGGTTCTCAACAATAACTGAGCTCTGACTAAGAGGTACTCGTTGTTTTTCCGCAATGCAGCTGAGTTCTGTGAAGGGAAAAAGCGGCAGCCCTTCAATTCAGTGCAGCCCATGTGGCTCTGGCAACTTTGAAGTCAAATGCGTGTAAATCACGTTCCTATTTCAGTATTTGTTTTTTTGTGTGATTGACACGATAGTATTTTTAAGATGAAGTTTTCTCCATTTTAATTGAACAGCGTTCATATCTAAGATTACGATCTGAAAATCGCATCTTGTCGGGTTTTATGCGTATCATCGTTTTCTAGCATGCTCTGCCTGTCGATAGAATGTGGCGTCGCGGGTATAGTGCACATTGATACATTTTGGAGAAGCATTTTGTGGGCTCGCTGAACTTATTTGTGTTTGGGCATTGCTAGGGCCCCGGCAAGAAAACTGGATATGAATCATTGCAAGCCAACAATCGCACATACAATCCACAGAAGGTGAGTGGCATTGACCTAATTTTTTTTTTTATCCTGGCCACAATCTGCTTTAAGAAACATGAGGCATTGCGACAGAACTAATGCAAACATCGACTGTTGCACACAGAATGGTTGAGTTGGAATCTGAAAGGCGGAAGGCCGTGTGTCCATATGAAGAGTAATAAATTGAAAAACTGTGTATGCCTCATACACGCTAGGAGGCAGCATGAAGCATGAACGAGGACTACACAACACGACAAGCGCTTCATATACTGCACTAGAAAGTAATCTCAAGAATGACACAATAATAGCAAGTCCTTGTACGTATATTTAAGTTGTACACCTCCAAATTTCACACCTCTAAATCATGTTTAGAAAACTTCCTTAATTCTGAACTCAGTTCTTAAAAGAACTAAAATGTTCACTCAACTCCCTTCCGAAAATCATCCCTGTTACTCGAGTAGCAATGGCCTATCTCTTACTCAATGGAAACCCCAGAACATCCGATGCAATGATAATTTTGATTTGAAAGGCCCATTCAAGAAGAAAAATCAAGAACTTTACTTAACTTTTCGACTGTGAATAAAAACACCTCACTCTTTTTCATTCCAACACACCTCAGCCTATGTAGATCACGGTACATATTGAGGATACAATGACCAGTATTTCTTGGATCGATACGGTAGTTGAGAACGCAGCGACCAACGATGATGTGTTGGGATGGATGCACACCCCACGGATGCTAACCTGTACCTTCAGGAGACTTGCTACGAACTTGTCACGTAAGCCACCAAGATCACAAAGACTCAACATTCGTATTCTGGGAAAAGTTTGGTAGCTCCCTCTTTCAACTCAGTCTAACACACCCTACATAGCTGCTTTTGTATGCCTGAAGTTCAGCAGGCACCTACCATTTCACCTGCAGTCCATTTGTCCAGCCAGAACTAGCAAGAGTGATTTGAAGCAGGACTCAAACCTAGGATGGTACTAAGCGCTTTTCATCTTGTCTTAAAGCGGAACTCTTGCATCAAACAAGTACCAGTAGATTCGAACGATTGTCCTTGGGAACCGGAAAAAAATGAATTCTTGTGATGGTGTGACATCTAATTCCATTTGATGGTACAAAGATCTGCTTTACTTCTACAAAAAACGTGATAGATCCAATCTACGTCGCAGAAGCTCAAGCTCGTGATAGTACTCCTTTAGAGCTGCAGGAACAAAGTTTCCAAAGTTAGATAATTTACGAGCTGAAAGAAACCAACTTCATCAGAGAAAATATCTGGACACTCTTAGATACGGGAACGGGGGGTTTAAAATACATAAAAAGAAAAAAAAATTAAGAATCACCTTGGTATGGTTCCCAAACGGCGAGCATCATATTCAGTTGCTTGACGCAGAGCTCTTGCAAAAGCCTTAAATGTGGCTTCTATAATGTGATGCGAGTTCTTCCCTGCAAGCTGCATCACAGAGTGATTCTTACACTATGTCAATACGCATCAAAATGTGAACTATAGCCATGACTGAAGAAGAACACCCAGGCTACTACAAAGGCTCAACGAAAGCGACAGAAAGCAATATTCTTCAAATTCATGAATGGACTCGTAGAATCAGTGAAGATGAAACCAATCGTCAAAACTAAAACTTACAAACACCAGGAGTTCATCCCATCTAGACAAGTTCGTCCCAAAGGCACTATTTCTGAAGAGTCGTAGTATATTTGATTCATAAGGCCAAGGGGGATCAATTCATACCTGTCGAATGTGGAGCGTCATTCCTGAAGTGTTCGCCATGGATTGGAAAAAGTGCTCAACCAACTGCGTAAAAATTCAAAACAAAAGTCCTTGGCAAAATTATTATAAGTAGGACAACGATTACTGACGTTCAATTTCCTCCCGTTGTTTCATTTTACAAATACTCTGACCATTCATTGATGTAAACTTCCAAATGCACCATATACAACTTCTTTGTCAAAAGTAACACTGACTTCGAGTGTAGGAAGAATCAGCTACCTGTGTGTCGTAGTTCCCTACTCGATCTGTGGGTATCTCAAGATCATAACCCAAATATGGCCGTCCCGACAAATCCTGGCATCAGGCGTATTACCGTCAGATTATTTCTACAATCAAGAAAAAAACCAGATGAGCAAAGTTTAGACCTGGTTGGAGAAGCGAAATCCCTGCAAACGATAAAAGTGGAGTAGGGACTAACCAACACTACGTGAACGAGAGCCTCATCCAGTGGAGCTGAAAAATCTCCGAAGCGCCTTATGCCCTTGCGGTCACCTAGAGCTTTTAGAAGCGCCTGAATTCACTCAAAATTCAAAAATCGATATCAATGTGATTTTGAAAGAAAAGGGAAAGAAAGAACAAGAAAAAGAAAAAGAAAAGGTCAAATGAGGTCATAATTTAAACCGTTTTTTACCTCCAAAACTACAATCCAAAATAAAAAACTTATTACGCTTTGTCCAAGATCTCTAATTACGACCACAGATAATATTATAATACAACAGAAGTATTATTCAAGGCAATAATAAATAAACTAATAAAACAAACTTTTAATTTTTTTGAAAGTCCAAAATGCGATGCAATCAAGGAGCCTCTGTAACTTCAGGTAGCTACATACAGCGGTCTAACATGTCTCACTGCCAGCCATGTTTACCAATTTCGACGAAGACCTCAGCATATTCCCTCTTCATCAATGAACAAGGGAGGAGAAAGAGGAAAGAACACATACAGTGCCCATAGCAAGGCCGACATCCTCATTCGTATGATGATCGTCAATGTGAGTGTCTCCTTTGGCCTTTACCCGCACGTCAAAGAGGCCATGCGACGCCAATTGCTGTTGTTGAGAGACAAATTCAAGCCATTACGAAGCTTTCAAACTCTAATGAAGTGACGAGGACAAAAAGTCCAATGAACCCAGAAAAGAAAATGTGACGACCAACTAAATATACTGAAGGTAGGACAAATGAAAGAGGAAGTCACTGCATTAAATGAGTGAAACTGACATGCATTGTCCATGACACCAAGATGTTACTACAACAGTAGATTCTTTCAGGATGAAATTTCAAACAAAAGAACTCAAAGCTCCAGTTCTGCACTACTGGCAAAAGCAATGGAAAAATTTGATACTTACATCAAGCATGTGATCCAGAAAGGGAATGCCAGTGTCGCAATCACATATTCCGGTTCCATCCAAATTGATGGTAACTTCAACACTCGTCTCTTTGGTTTCTCTCGAAACAGATCCTACACGTGCACTCTCTGCAAGCACAACCCGATGTAGTATATGAAAATGAACCTTTACAACAACTATCGTCTCTCGTTACTGAGTTTCTAGATTATGCTTTTCATCGCTCTAATTTCTACAGAAATTTCTCAGATTGATATCAATTCTGTTTCCTGGTAATTTCCCTCCCAAAAATGACTCGATACGAGAATTTCCAAAAATAGAGATGAGTTCCTGTTAGAACTCCAAAAATAAATCCCATACAGCGGATTTAACTTCACGGACCGGCTACTCCCAATCCTACTGAATTTAAACTACACCCCTTCAAAATGAAACACCATAGACACAGCGAAGTAACAGATTGAATTGACTAAAGTGCCACAGATGCCTTCCCAAATTTGAAAGATACATTGAAGAAAAAACAAAAAACAAAAAAAAAGGAGAACAATTCTACATCTTATCAAAGCACCTTAGAATCTCTACGCGGAATTCACCATTGCATTATCAAGCCATGCCTCCACAACAACTAGAGGGTCACAACGGAGAAATGAGATTTCAACCATCACGCACCTCCTTCGACAACATCAGCCGCAACGCCATTGGTAGTCGCGGTGGAACCCCGGACCACAACCCTACGCACTCCATGCCGCGAAGTAGTTAACCTCCGCTCACCCAATCGCGAAGCAAATGGCCCTGACACTTCCCTAAGTGACGAATATAGAGGGCAGCACGCGCCGACCTCGCCATCTCCTTCCTCGGCATCACCTTCCCTCTCCAGAATAGTTCTTGTTCTTCCGACAGCAGATGCCACCGCCAAACGGCTACGCCGCAGCTCTGTCTCCCCCGCAACGACGAGTTTGGCAGCTTGCAACGCCAACAAGCCTCGCAGAGCCCTGTTGCCCTGCGTGCTGGATCCTGCGCATGGCGGCGTCGCTTTGACGAACGACGACGCTCCCATTGCCGCCATCTCCGAACACCACCGCCCTGCCCTAACCTATACACCACGGAATAGCTCAAAATCTCGCGGAACTCCACAATTCTGTGCAACCGTGAAAAGAAGACGAAATTCGAAGCAGAGTATCGCAACAAATCGACAGAAGAACTCCGGAATCGTGACGCTGGGAATGAAACCGAGCTACTATTGTGGACAAGTCTACAACAACAACACCAATCTCACTCCGCAATTGAGCTCCAGAGCAAGCCAGCGCCTCACTCCACACTCTCCTCCAGACGATATCCGGTCAGGAATGTATACCCTGATCATCAAGATTTATACTCGTGTTTGACGCCTGACCTGGTCACACCCTGGTGAGTGACCTGGAGGGACATACCCGGGTGTGTCTCTGAGATCCGGTTTGGACCGGGAATCACGGTTTGCAAGAGGGTCATGGAGTAGGACCGTATCTAAATTATTCTCTGTGCAGCAGAATGGAATTTAAGGTGTAAAGATTATGAGGAGAATTAGAGTATTTTAAAAGGAACTAAATCTAAAAAGTGTTTTTATCTTTAAACATGCATTATTTTGAAATGTTTATTTTTAATATAGTATACTTGTACACTTATCATTGTTGATATACTAGAATGATTCATCATGACAAGTTTTGAAGTACAATATGTTCAAAATTCCTATTTTTGTGACACATTCTAGTTTTGAGTGTACCATTTCAAATCTAAAAAATATTTTTTTTAATTCAAATGTTCAGGATAAAATATACACACACACACACATATCTATATCTATATATATATATAGAAAGATTGTCATAGATTTTTTTAAAAAAACAGCCAAAGTCTTTATAGACTCAAAAAAAAAAATTTAATAAATATTTTAAGGTAGTTATGAGAGAAGCTGAAAGTAAGATTTAAAGTAAAGTATTTATTTATTTATTTGTTAACAATACATGTAATCACTATAGTTGATACTTTTTATGAATAAAAAAAATATATAACATAGTTATAACATATTTTAAGCAATAATAACAAATCTTATATTGGATTAGATGTATATATATATATATATATATATATATATATATGTTGTAATTGTACCAATGTATGAAGTAATTAGACTTGGTTTATTATCTTTTTCAGTAAATACTTTTACCTGAAATTCATTATTAATCATAAAAACAAACCATACCAAAAATGCTAAAAAACAAATTTTCCTATGATTTTAAAGTTTTTTGATTACTAATGGTTAATAGATCAATTTTTAACAAATCTAATTCAATTTTATGTAGCACTAAACCATGAAAGTTATTCAATAAAGGCATGTGTTTTTAACTTCTTGATTTCACAATTAGAGCATATCCAATTCAAAAATCATGTTTGCCATTAAAACCAAAAAATCAGCAAAAAACAAACAAACAAACAAACATGTAAAATGTTTAATTATCTTATCAACTGATGATAAAGTATCTTAAGTATTGATATTATGTTTGAATATATTGTTTAAATAAGTACAAATGGAACAAACAAAAAATTTGACGATTATCTGCAAATTTTAAACAAAGATTTTAAAAAACTCAATGTAAATTGTGATCTTTAATTTCATATAATATCATGAGCGAATTGTGATAATAATGTTAACATACATGTGATAAGCTTGGACTCAAAAAACTAATTCTCAGATTATATTGAAAGTGATGAAATGTTACACAACTCTGTTACTTCTGATTGATATTCTAAAGCAGTTGTAGAACAATTATGAGCGCTGATGGAATCCTCTGAGCATGTGTCACCACTTGGAGAGTGCACAAGATTACTGTGTAGATCATCTCTTTGCACATCTGCGGAGACTCATCAGTGTCCAATACCATTAAAAACAAGCACATCTAAACACTGGTCATAAATTGCAAATCTCTACACAACGTTTTAAAGTGCCCTTCAACAAATTTGGTCTTTTGGTTTGTGGGACATGATGATGCACAAATTAAAAAAACTTCAACAATAATAACAATGCTAGACTTAGTTATATAGCTTGTGTTTCTGAAGAAAACTACGATTGTCAAGAGCGTTGGTAATTGGGCTATCTCAGTGGACACAGTCCGTCTAGACAATTGAAGGTAGTGACAGACATTCTGAAGTTGATGCAGACGATAACCTCATATGTACGAGAGTATTGCGTACCCATGGTCGAAGTAAAAATTGACCACGATTTTGCCTGTGGTCTGAGATTGCACAAGTTTTCAGCTCTCTTCCAAGCATCGAGAACACCTGCATAAAAAAGCGTAGTCTGCCAGTGCAGCTCTCCTCTCTTCCAAAGAGGCATCTTCATCAATGTATGAGATTGTCACCTGAAAATCAAAGATGCCCACAACCCACATCATAAGCTCCGTGTAGATTATTTATATCTGCTACAAGTAAATGAAAGCAGAATATGTGATGGCATTATATTAAGACTGTTGCCATACCTCTTCGCCCTTCTTGATGGGTCTGAGCGCAAGTAGCACCGCATGGCCATCTCGGTCCTGTTTTCATTACAAAAAATAAGTTGGTAATGAAACAAATCTCTATTAAGCAAGGACGTTTATCACATTAACCGATTGTAAGGATAAATCGTGAATAGAAAAATATGATGGATAAAGGAAAGCAGAGCTAGTAGCATTAGCTCCCCACCTCATCCCGCTTGAACGCTCTGGCATTGGGTCGGCAAGAGTGATTCATGCAACTTTGTAATGTGTAAAATGCTGACCCTGCACAGTAGAGAAAATAATAGCCAATTTTCATGAAAACATGTCATGGATGCTCGACTCACTTAAGTCTTCCGAAATGAGACGAGAAACAGAGAACAGCATAAGTATTATCGAAATAAATCGGACTAGTCATATTGTTTAAGATGACCACTTGCTAACCTTTCAATGAAATTCACAACAATGGTCAATAAGATAAAGAAGTGCACGTGACGCACCTTCACAGTAAGCGGCGTAGTCATCGCCTAGAGCTTCTAAGAATGGCTTCGTATATGCTTCAGCCTCTGCCTGTTGATCACCAATAAGCATACTAATCAGCAAACATTGCTCAAGTCATGTTCCCAAATCGTCAAAATTATTCCAAACCAGCACATCACAAAGAGTGCCTCAAACATCTCTGCCAGGAGAATGACACTATGAAATGCAATCTGACAACGTTATACGAACACTTTGAAACTACACTTGAGAGACCGCCGCTAATATCTGAACTTGTGATACGAACGAAAAATCCAATGACAAAAGGAAAGAAGGGTGAAAAGAGAACACGACCTTTGCAGCCGGAGGAAGATCGTCAATGTAAAGAAAATAGTCTTCAACAGGTGACGCTACAACAAGATCCCTGAAACAAAACACAAAAAAAAGAAGAAAAGGAAACTTTCAGTTGAAGAATAGTGCTCGACCCTTTCTTCCACATCCTTCACTTGTTAATCACGATAGAATGAAGAGCAATCTGAAGTTAGGAATTGTTCATTGACCCTCGACCTCATCGTGATGGCTCACTACAGGCACCGCACACAAAATTTTACGATGCATAAAAGTGAGGAAGTTGAAGCTACTACGATATCACAATCAATGCATGAACAGAAAGCCCTTGTGTGTGAACCTAAGAGAAGAAAGTTCGGATATCCAGAAGTAGAGAGTGACTCACAGATTGTTCAATTCGAACATGCCAATAATGCGCCCATACACATCCAAAGAAAATACTATTCACGTGCACAAGTTAGGGAAAAGCATTACGACAGAGTTTGGTTCAAATCCTAAAAAGGTTCTAAGCAGCTGGCAAACCTACTTCAAGAAGAATTAAAACGGATGCTTTCTTTTAACGTACAAAATTGCGACTAGAACAGCAAGCATTGCATTTATAAGAAATCTAATATATTTTCAGTTCCCGATTAACAACCCGAGAAAGAGGATACAAGGGTCATATTTATCCTCATAAATTGCCTTCTTCAGTAAAGTTAACGACTGCACCCGCAACATCATCATTCAGTCCACACATGCTTCCATTTTGTATATTCTACTTTGTTCGTGTATTGAGTACTCTCTGATAAAAATCACTAGGAACAACAGAAGCAAGGAAAAATATAACACTTCATAGACATATCTTCGTATGCTATAAAAAACACTCAAAACACTTTGTCGAGCTAGAATAGCGTCAGTCCATGAGACAAGCGTCGAACTAGCTGTGAAGATACCTGTGCAGCAATATCTTTCATTTGATCCCGAAATTGTCGCTCATCAGCAGGATCCACATCAGGTGGCAAGGCTACTGTTTCCCACCATCTGCACAATGATAAATGCTAAAAGTTTAAACCTCTAGAACCGTCATATGCTACAGCAAGGGCAACTCAAGATTTCGCCTTTGGCAAACCCACAACCTTAAGTCAACAGCAAAACTATCATGTTTGCGATTTGAATCGTAACCACGCTTACAAGAGTTTGAAGCCCATCGCAAAGGGTTCCCAGGCCTTTAGCAAAGCTGACTCATGCTTGCATTTGATTGAACCCTCAAGTTTCCGGGCTCTCAACACGGTTGCAGCAATGACCTGGTCACTCAAACAGTTCCAAGGTAAAATTTTCACACAACGTCGGTTTTCTAAAGAGTAATAGACATAGTATTGAACAACACTCGAAGTTGCACATTGCTGACATGAGGAGAAAGAAATATTGCCGACGAAAAGGTATTGAAAAGTACCTGAGCAGCAATGTGAAATATGTCGTTTGTTTCTGTTGTCCATTACGGCACAAGTGATTACAGTTATGAGACAAAACAATATGACGCAAATTCGTATTGAGACTTGCTCTACAAAAGGAAAAGCAACAAAACCTAGACCAAGAATCGGGATACCGTTACGTATCAGAATGTAATCCTGGACTTGAGAGGACAATTCATAAACCTCGTAATCCACAATACCAGAAACTTCGTCTACAGCAGGCATCCACTTTCAACTGACTTCGTCGGAACCAAAGACGTCACTACACTACATGGACAATATGGTAGAAGACTTCTAGTAAGCCTTCTACGAGCGGTGTTTATAATTAATCTAAAGCCAAAACGTAAATTATAAAATATACCATTTGTGAACTCCTTGAAGCTGACCAAAGCATCAATATTTTTGCAACGTGAAGAAGGGCCGGTGCATAGCAGACTGTGGTGATTTGTCCAAGCCGCCTCTGCACACTTATCACTGGCGTACAACCAGCAGATATTAATCATTCGGATGAAGGAAACAACTGAGGGCGAGGTCACACGATTCGAATACTTCGTCAGATCCCTCTTAACACCATAAATCCCCTTCTACAAATCATTTGAAACAAGACAACAAACCTGCAGTAAACATCATCAGAGCAACCACCCTTGCAAGGCACAACATCTGGCAATGGGAATCGATCACTGTAGGGAAGCTCAAGCGCTCCGCTCTCAAGAGCAGATCTTGCATCCGATGGAAGTGCTTTCTTCTTTTTCTTCGATTCTCCACTGCATCCACAATCATCATCAATGTCGTTTGTGTCTTCTGGTTCCATTTCATCTTGATCTTCATCGTTCATGGAAGTTGTCGATTCTCCATCAGCATCCATATCATCATGATTGGCATTATCATCTGCTGCGATATAATAGAATCATCAGAATCATTGTTGAATGTCCTTTTAATTGTAAATTGATCCTAAATGATGCACCCCGCTTAGTTATGGATAATTCACAAAAACCAATAACATTTTAAGCAATGCCTGCTGTGATAAACGCAGTTTCTTCTTTCTGAATTCAAGCTCATGTGTTTGCATGAGAGTTCCGTAAATGCAGAATACACCTGGGAGTGCGGTGACATGGTATAAAATGATAAGGCTAAAATAAAAATCGGGTATTGGGCAAAACCTTCTGACAAACTTCCATCGTCTAGGAGAAGACGCCGTGCTAACTGCAGCTCAATGGAGCCGACATACCGAAAGCAATTACTGCACACTATAGCATCTCTCTGCTCCCACTGAAATCTTAGTACAAGTTTTTTGAGTGCAGCTTTAAGATCTATCTTCGATAAAGACACTTAAATAATTACGCACCCAGAATTGCAATGACTTCAAGCACATATTTTTTCTTGAGAACAAGAAGTACATTGCTCGAGTTTCAGTTAAATTTGATAGGATTTTAAAGTTAGTGGACAGAAATTAACTAACCTTGTTGCGGGAGTGTTGAGCACCTACGAGCGGTGGTTCTCGCAAAACCAGCTCCTCAGCCTCAAAATCTTCATTCGCAAAGACACCTGCACCCGAGTTTACAAACAACCCAACCCAAACATTTGCACTTGGGATTATTCGCACTCCTTCGACAGCTTAGCTTACTTGTAGTAATCGTTAGTAAATTTAATTCCACGTGGTGTATGCAAGCCTTGAGCCCAGAGCAACAAAGTGACTTGTTTCAGACCCGCACTAGGAATACTAATTATACCCTCAATGACGATCTAAATCTCAATCTACTGCATCACTAGTCACTACCCTCCAAAATCAAGCCGCAGAAACTATCATACTCGACAAGATTTCCCGTAGGAACAATGACCTCCACCGATTTCAGCTTTAAAAAACCATAAAATCTTCCCCTGATTCACAATGGAAAATATACCAGTCATAAACCCTAAACCCTATGATTCGTCGGCACTCTTTCTTTACCCTGCAACAGCTAGCATTTGTTTGACATTTAACTTACCGATTAAAAATAAGATAATTAAGGAAAAAAAATTGAAAAGCCAACCATATAGACATTCGCAACAACCTCATTTCTCAACATAAAACTGCAACGCCAAGTTCGAAATTATTTTCCAAAAGCGCCGTCTAATACTCCACACTCTGCAACTCAGAGCAGCAGCAAGCCTTCAACCTAGGAAGTAGAAACACACACACACACACGCAAGATTCACACCTTTCCCCGTATCCCCATCCATGCGGCGCACTTGCAGGCCGGCTCCAGCGCCTTGTTTCGAGAGCTCAGCGTAGTAATTCTGCACACCCAGGTGCCATATTTTCCGAGTTTCAGCATGCTCGCCACCACACCCCTAGAAATCCAAACAATCCCATGCACCCGCACTCGTGCCTAGAAAAATAGGTTTGTCCACCTGCATGGATTGTGGCGAAGGCGGAGCCAGCAGCTTCTGTAGAATGCCATCGACGCCATCTCCATCCACCTCCATGGCCATGTCGGCACCTCTGCAGTTTGATCCACTGCACCACAAATACAGCTGCCGACTGATTCAGCAGCTGGGTTCCTTGGGATTCTCGGCGAAGCTCTGCACCAACTCTCAATTGAATGCTCAAAACTCCCTCGACACCAATACACGACAACAAACATGCTTGGTTTCGTGCTTCTTGTTGCCTAAAACTGGCAGTTATATGCATCAAGCATCCGATCTGATCCATCCATCTTATTGTGTTTCTTCACCCAACAAGTTTTTGCTTCTTTATTTATGTCGTTTTAGTCGGTTTTAACATCTTGGATTACCTTTGAAGGTCTACACGTCATTTTAATTCTTTGGTTTTTTTGTTTCCTCTTTCTGAAACAATATGGTGCCCTTGTCCTAGTTTGCATCAATGCTTGTGGGAATTTCAGAGTTGGGATTCAAATTTTCAACCTCACTGGTGTATGTTGCACTATACCATTCGGTTCCGTTTGTTATCATTTTGACAGAGTGTGGTTTTTTTGGAATTGAATGTTTCACAAGTTGATCAACAAAATGATGTTTAGCAATTGTATGAGACCAATTCTTGTGGACTATTTGGAACTTTTCTTCAGAGGATCATATTATCAAAACATGATTCAACACATATTCTAAATATATCTATTCAACTCAAAACTTGCCTTCTGATTTTTTTAGTACAGTTTCCAAATAATAAACTAGAACTTTAAAAAAAAAATTAATTGATTTTATTTTAAATATTTATAATTTTAATATAAAGTATTTAATAATAGAAACTGAATAGAATTTTTAAAAATTGACCGCTCTTAAATAGAATTTTAACTAAATAGAATTTTAAAAATTAACCTTTCTTAAAAACATATTGACAAAAAAATAAAAAAATAAAAAAATACATATAACAAGGAAATCATTTATGTTACTTCAAGATTATTGGCAAATTCAACTCTTGTTTACTATAACAATTTAAATAGCTAAGTTAATAGAATTTTAAAATAAATTATATTTATAGTGGTATTTTTGTCTTCATTATCTTTAGGATAAGAATCTTGATTATATTTAGAGAAGGTATTTTTAAGAATAAGGATAAGGATAGAATAGATTGCATGTGGTAGATTCTCATCTTAGAACCCTCTTGGTGATATTTTTAAGGTATCAAGGTAACTTCAAGATGTGAAGAGAGAGACATAAAATATGGTCATTATATCTTTTCTCTTGGTTAATAAAGATGGCAAATTTTGGGACTCAAATGGGAGTCTATTGTAATTGATTGGAGTCTTTTATTAGAGCAAGCTTTTAGGACAATAATGAAGACAAATGCATCAACATGTACACAAAGTTTGAGGGCAAAAACTAGGTCAAGGAGAAACAAAGTGCTAAAGCAAAGAGAGTCTCCTAAGTTTGTAAGTCAATGGCAACAATTTTGAGGGGTCATAATTTGGTGTCTATGAGAGCTATAGTTATGAGACTTAAAGTATAGTTGTTTTATTAAGTCAAGAATTCAATCACCAAGTTTTAAGGTATTATGTCATATGTTTTACAAGATATATACAAAAGATTAATTGGACATAGGATTGTGAGGAAAAAGTAGTAACCAAAAAATTAGATTAAGAGATTTTTCTTGCTATAAATGAAATTAAGTCAAAAATCACATTGGAAATTAGAATATAAGGAAGAAATGAAATATTTGATCTATTACAAAAGATTTCAAAACATTCCTTTAATTTTACATTGAACTATTGTCATAGACATATATATTTACATATATAAGAAGTATTAGGTAGAAGATAAATGTTGGTAGATTTGATATTATCTTGTGGCAAAGCTTCTTAGAAGCTTTATAGATGCATATTTTACTTTATATATATTTGTAGTTGATTGATAGGTTAGAAACTTGGCCAATAAGTTAACTACATGTCGCACATGTTACTAGCTTAAGTTACAATCTAATGATGTAGAACACATATAAGAAACTTACTTCGTAAGTTAAGACATATGTCTTGCAAATTGGACACACATTGGAGGTCCTATAGAACGTCGCAAGATAACTCATGATTAGATAGTATATATAGAAAAAAGAATGAAACCTTCTTCACTCTTGTCAACACTTTCTAATCTTTAGTTTTGTTTCAAGACTATCTAGTATTCTTGTCTTTGGCAATAGCCATTCTAGTTTAAAATTATACCAACTTTGAGTGATTTTCTAGTTATTTTGAGTGACATAAGAATGTACTGATCTTTTAGTCGTTTGAGATTCATATCTTTGGTAGTTTCACAAGAGTGCTAATTCATTATTCATGTTTTTTTTTTTTTATTATTTTATTTTAGAAACGAATAAATTATTCCACTTCTATTGTTGAATTTTGAAGATTAATGACTATCTACCTTTAAACTAATAGTTTAATTTTTCAACACTAATTTTTTTCTTGAAGAGAGCAAACTACCTTTTTCTATGGAAATTTTTATTTGATATTAGAGGTTGGAGATTACTTTCATTTAATTTGATTTGTGAGATTTTTTGAATTATAGATGCTGTTCTTAGTAGAAGTGAGAATAAATTTGTAACTATTGTAGATCTCTACAAGCTTGTTAATATTTTTAGGATTGATATCTCATGTATTTCATAAACCATAGAAGTATTATTCCTTCATTTATAGAAGAAGTCAAGAATGAGGTTTAGACTCTACGCCTAGAAGTTGTACAATTGTAAGAAGCAAGTAGATCAAGTTTACAATTGAATGTAAAAAGTCTTGTTTCTATAAGTATGGAAGAGCAAATAATAAGTATAGCAAATTTTTTTGACAAAACAAGATCAAACTTTTGAGGATTTTTATAACAATTAAAGCTCTATTTAAGGTTGCATTCATCTCACTATCTTTATGGATTTATTGTCAAGGATAAAAACATGATAAAGACAAATAAATAAGTGAGACTTCTTTTAAAGAAAGATGACAAAATAGAAATAACTTGATATATATATATATTACGAAAGAAACTTGAATGCCTATTGCCAAAAGACAAGAAAACTAGAGATCCTTGAAACTAGACTGGAAGCAAGAAAGGAATTGACAAGAGTGAAGAAGGCTTCACTCTTGTCTCTATATATACTATTTAACTAGGGGCTAACTCGCGACGTTTTATAAGACCTCTAATATGTGTTGACTTTATAGGACACATGCCTTGACTTACAAGGCAAGTTTTTCTACGTGTGGGCTACATAGTTAGCTTAGTCTTCAAGCTAACAACATGTATGGCATGTGGCCAACTTCTTGACTCCGTTTCTAATCCAAAAAGTCAATTAAAGACACCTATAAAGTCAAAACAGCATCTATGAAGCTTCTAGGAAGCTATTATATCAAATACTATAGAATTAACTTATTTTTATCTACTTTTACTTACTTCTATCTATTTATATATGTAATTACTGGCTTACATGAGTATGTTCGTGACATTACCTTCCCTTCTAGGGATGAGTTCCATGAGGAGCGGTCATCATATGTTGAAAAAATCTATAATACGACGAATTATATTCGCCACATACTCTGATCTTTGTTCTCTTCAAAGATGATTGATAGGGCCTCTCAATTATTGGTAGTATCTCATACCAGGGCGGAAAGACCATCCACTCATTTGATCATTGTTGAGGTCTTCATAACTTCCTTCGAATAAAATATTTGGAACACCGTGAGAAGTTGTTCCTATCACCAAACATAGGGAGTCTCTTCCAAGGTCATGATATCAAACGCGTTGTATTTTGCCATCTATTCGAAGAAGAATATGTCGTTTTTGAAGATCTTCATCTTGATTGCATCGTCTTGAAGGTTGAGACACCTATAATATCTCGTCCGGTAGGTCAGCAAACAAAGGCTCTTGAGTCAAATCTGCTGGTTGTTGGTTCTCCATCTCTTTAGCATTACAACTACAAAGAAGCTACAAACAAGGATTGAAAGTAGAATGATATTTTGTCTAGATCTTGTTTTTTTTTATAAAGAAGGTTTTCATCTTAATTTTGATAGATGTCGTCGATGAAAAGCCTCCATCGCCTTTGCTGCATTTATAAGATTCTTTACTGACTCCCATATACGTTCATTAATATCATATCCGTGCCAATAGACAAGATATTCTAATTTATTTCGGCACTACCTTGAATCTAAAACTTCTTCTACTTCAAACTCTTCATTATTATCCACTTCTATAAGAGGAGGTGGAGCTTGTCTTCTTCTTCATATGTCGACTATCTTGTATGGTTCAAGAAGAGACACGTGAAATATTGGATGGATTTTCATTGACTCCGGTAGATGTAAACGATATGCAACTGGATTGATTTGTACAAAAATAAAAAATGGTTCAAGCCTTTGATAGTCCAACTTATCACAAGGACGAGTGATCTTGATGTTGCAACAAAGTAACCATATCTTATCACCTATGTAGAATGGTGGTTATTCCTTTTGATAGACATCTGCATTAAGCTTTTGTTCTTCTTGAGCTTCTTTTAATTGCACCTTTATTGTTGCATGTAGCACTGATAAATGAATTGCTAAATCTTTTGTCGTAAGATTATCAACTTTTGAAAAGTCAAAAGTATCAAGTCGTGGATGATAACCATAATTGGCAAAAAAAGGTGTTTGTTTTATAGAAGAATGTACCATGTTATTGTAAGCAAACTCTGCCAATGGCAAAAGAGTTGTCCAATCATCTTATTGATAGTTAATGGTACATCTTAAATATTACTCCAAAATTTGATTAACATGCTCTATTTGTCTATTAGTTTGAGGATGGAATATCAAAGATAGTTTTATATCAACTTTTAGAATCTTGAAAAGAGTTTGCCAAAATCTTGATACAAATTGAGTTCCCGTATCTGATATAATATCCTTGGGTAATCCATGATAGCGATAGATATTGTCAAGAAAGAGCTTGGCTATTTCTTCACTTGTGATAGATTTTGTACATGGTACAAAATGTGCCATCTTGGTAAAATGATCTACTATCATGAATATAAAGTCATAAGAACCTGAAATTGGAAGATCCATGATGAAATCCATAGAAATAGAAGTCCATGGTTGTTTTGGAATGGATAATGGCTGAAGAAGTCTGTAAGGTCGATGATGAGGAGTTTTTGATCTTGAGCAAACATCACAAGATTGTACAAAATCTTTAACTACTTTCCACATTTGGGGCCACCAAAAGTCCTTAGATATTAGTTCCAAAGTTTTATT